CTCGGGGGCCCGTGGTAGGGGCCGGCCCGCCCGCCCGCCTTCCAGCCACCGCCTGTGGGCCCCGTCCCCCTTCTCCCTGCGGTTCTCTCGCACTGGGCGTTACGTGGGGCAGGCCTGGGTCATCCGGGGAGTGCCAAGGGGCCCGGCTGCTTGCCGGGCGTGGAGGGGGTGCGCGTTGCTGTACCCTTCGGGCTGGGGAAGCCCAGCTGTGAGGGTCGAACTCTTGCCGAGGAAAGCTTACATCTTTCTTAGGTCTGTTCATATTAGTAATGTACGTTGACGTTTATCTAATGACTTGTATCGACGCGCGCTGCAAAAAAATGTTTTCTTGGGGATAATCCAGTTCTTTAGCCTGTTACAGGTTTCCCTAGGTGCTGTTGCCACACCAGCGCGTCCTTGCAGACAGGATGATCTTAACAGAGCTTGAGCTTGTCCAGGGTATTGTGCACCTCTGGTCCCTTACACTGTTTTATTTTGCATTTCATCCAAGTGCTGCAGTTTCACCACGTTATGTGGCACATATGCTTATTAAAGGGGGGCTTTCTGTCTTGCTTGCTGTAACAGTTGGGTTTCATGGTCTGGCAATGTGAATTTCACAGCCCTACCTGAATAGTTATACTCCAAACAGTATTTTGAAAATTGTGAGCGGTGTTTGTTAGTTGGAGGTAAACTAAAAACACTTGATATGCTCCATGTGTTTCTCTATGTAGTTTTGAGGCAATTTGAACCCATAAGAAATTTTATTTATAGTTTTGGGGCTTCACTCTCAATTGTATTAAAACATTCCTCTGTATCAGACACAAGCATAGGACAGTCAGCAATGAATTTGTTGTGGATCAGAATCAGTTTGATTAACTCACTTTAATCAGAGTTTCAGGCCTTCGTCTTGCAGATGCTTCCGTCTAACCTACCTGATGCTTATGATTAAGGGTATGGGATAATTCAGTTTGGAAGGGACCTCAGGAGGTCTCTAGGCCAACCCCCCTGCTCAAAACAGGTCAGCTGTGAGGTCAAACAAGATAGCTTAGGGCTTTATCCTATCAGGCCTTGAAAACCTCCAAGGATGGAGACTGCACAGTGTCTCTGGGCAACCTGTTCTGCTGCCTTACTGGGCTTGTGGTGAAAAAGTTTTTCCTTATATCCAGTCTGAAGCTTCTTTTACTTTCAACTTCTGCCTGTTGTCTCTTGGCCTCCTACCATGCACCACTGTGAACAGCCTGGCTCCAGCTTTAAGCTCTAGCCTGTTCTAGAAGTCTGACTAGTCAGTTTAGTGTCTTGTTTGGAAATCCTTCAATGTTTTGTCATACAGAACTCTGAACTTGTAAATGCAACTTTGCTTTGCTTTACTTGCATTAAAATTTACTTTGAAGATCACCGCTCGAAGGCTTGCTCTTTCTAATGTTTGTTCTTTTGCTGGGATGTTCTTCTGAAAACTACTCCAGGTCCTAGGAAGCTTCTCACATGTATAAAACAAACAAATAAACCCCAACAAATAAACAAAAACAAACCAAAACCAATAAAAATATGTGTATTTGGGGGAGTAGGCTAGTTGACAGTGCCCTGACTGTCAGTTGGTGTATTTTACTGAGTCTTTATCAAGTGTGTGAGATGACTCGGGTGTCTGGCTTTTTTCCCATAAAGTAATTAATTAAAAAAAAAAAGAAAAGAAACCTGTTTAGTATAGTTAAACCACACCAAAAGCTTATGAAAAGAAATTATTTCCAGTATTTGCAATGTTTTGTTTTGTTTTGTTTTTTTAAAGAAAGTGAGCCAGAACTGAAGTTTCAAGTGCTGCTTTGCTGAGAATTTGCTGGATGAGCACCTCCTTGTGATATAGTGAATATAAACATGAAGCCTGTCATTAAAATGAGCATGTAATGCTTATTTTTATTAAGCATATCATTGCTGAAAGAGCTTTGCTTATGATTGAATCCATGATCAGAAGTTTCTGTTAATTTGCAAAAAATTTAATTCCCCAAACTTAGACTCTTTGAATGTTGTTTTATTTCTATTTGTTTGCATGCCTGTTGAAGCTGTATTGACAGTAGTGAATAGTCCTTCAATGGGCTTTAAATCAGGTTCTTAGATCTGTGGCTTAACTGAAAGGTTTCCTTTAGCAAATTGAAAAATACAAAGTTATGGCCCAATTTTCCTTGCACAGATTTCTTTCAGACTTCAGTCTCCTTATGCATTTGGCAATTTTTAGAAATGTCAGTGATCAAGCTACCTCGGTCCTTGTCCTTTCCACCTCTATTCTCTATTACCAAAAGCAAATTCCTTTTACTTTTGTGGATGTGGGAAGTGGAATGTTACAAATTTCAAATTTAAACAGGAAAGGAGATGGGAGTAAATGATAAAGCATGTTTAATTCGGACTAGAAAAGTCTTTGAAATGGCATAATTTCCTTTTGTGATAATTTAGACAGCTCCTTTAGACATAAGATGCTCCAAAAGAGGTCAAAGTACGGAATGTGTTAAAATGCTCAGTATTGTTATACTCATTCAGAATTGTACTGGTGCTGTTTATGAAGAGATGTATTAGTGTTCTGTCCTTGTGTGTGTGTAGATCAGTTACTTAAAAAAAGATGGAAGTTTACTTCTAGTGCATGCTCTCAGACTACTCTTTGATGTTGTGACTTCTTGGCTTTTAGCTTCTAGAGCAGAACACTGTTCCTAAGCCTTGTTTTACTAAGTGTGATGGATTTATTGGTGGTTAATCTACCATCCCAAGTGGTTAATCTACAAAGGTGTTGATTGCAATCAGGAATGGAACTGATCTTTTTCCTCTTCTTGATTCTCAATTTATTCCCTTTCTCACCCTCTTTTCTCTCTCTTTGTGTCTTTTTTTTCTTTTTTTTTTCTCTTTAATTAAAGGAAACACCGAGGAGGCTGGAAGGCTACTGGGCAGCAAGAATGTCCGTGTCAATTGCTTGGATGAGGTACAGTGAAACTGTGCAAGCATTATGCTTGGTTTAGCAAGGAAAATACTAGGTTTGAAGGCCTTCTTGTTGTTAATTAACATTGCTACACAGACTCCTGGAAATCAGAGTTATTCTGAACATATTTCCAGCCTGCAGCTGAATAATGAACCTTTGAAGTGAAGAACTCCTAATTTTTTTGAAGAAAGTTTAAAGATTAATGTTACTTAAAGTACTACACTGTTTATATTTTCTCTCAAGTTCCAGCATGAACTTTGGTGTCTGTAAGGTAAGATGAACACTGCAGCAACACACATGGGGGGTGCTCCCTGACTTCTTGTCACCTCCACCAAACTGTAGTGCCTCCACTTAGATAGCAGCAGACAGTGGGGATAAAGAATACCTGTCCCCATCTCATGCTTGCATCTCATCACCCAAAGCCTTATCTTTACAGAACAGTAAACAGGCTTGGAGAGTGAGCAGTTAGAAGTGGAAAACACACTGTCTTGCAGAGGCAGATGTGACAGACATGTAGAAGATAAAATCCGTAAGTGGTACCTGAAGATGGGAGGAAGTTTGTGGACATTTAAATTGACAAATTACACATTGATCTAACATGCATGGTGGGCAATTACAGTTTTGCTTCCACATTACACTTCGTATTAATGTTGCACACTTTAGAAAAACATTGTAAAAGGAAAAAGAAGAGGAAACAGATACGAACATCACACAAGGTTAAAGGAACCTTGTGTAATTTATCACTTTAAATGTCAGTTTGTGGTTTTTCTCAACTTTATCATTTCATAGGATCACTGGGAAATTCAGGCTAGAAGGGACCTCAGAAGGTTCAGCCTCTTACTCAAAGCAGCTTCAGCTTCGAGGTCAGATGAGGTTGCTCTGAGCTTTATACTGTCTGGCCTTGTAAACCTCCAAGGATGGAGACTGCACAATGTTTCTGGGCAGCTTGCTCCACTGCCTTAATATGCTTATGGTGAAAATATTTTTCCCTTATGTCTGAACCTCTGTTTCAACTCTCATTGTCTCTTGCCCTCCTGCCACCATAACCGAAGAGTTTGGCTCTATCTTCTCAATGATCTTCCTGTAGGGACTGGCAGGCTGCTGTTGGGTCCCATCAAAACCATCTCTTCTACAGGCTGAACAAGCCCATTTCCTGCAGCCTCTCTTTACTGCACAAGTGCTCAAGTTCCCACTGTGTCTTGGTGGTACTCTGCTGAACTTGCTGCAGTTTATCCATGTCTTTGTTGTACTGGAAGGCCTAAAATTGGACAGGGTATTGCAGATGTGGTCTTGTGAATGCTGAATGGAGGAAAATTATCACTTCATCTACTGGTTATCTTCATGGAATATTGTTAGCCTTTTTTGTGCTGCCAACAGATCCATTTTCTGATTGTTCTTAAATACAGTTAAATATTTAGGGACTTCTAGGGACTTTTTACAAGGGGAGGTAGTGATAGGACAAGGGGTGATGGCTTTAAACTGAAAGAGGGTAGATTTAGATTAGATGTAAGGATGAAGTTCTTTACTATGAGGGTGGTGAGACACTGGAACAGGTTGCCCAGAGAGATTGTGGATGCCCCATCCCTGTAAGTGTTCAAGGCCAGGTTGGATGGGGCTTTGAGCAACCTGGTCTAGTGGAAGTTCTCCCTGCCCATGGCATGGAGGTTGGAACTAGGTGATCTCTAAGGTCCCTTCCAACCCAAATGATTCTATGATTTAAACCTTAATTTCTAATGTATGAATTTCAACAAGCTTCTGACAAACTAGTCAAACTAAGCTTTACAGGAATCTTTGGGAACCCAAGATGCAAGGTGAGTATGTTTGCAAGTGTGCTTTATTGTATGGGCTTTAAAAGCTTTTCTTTTAGTGTAATTGCTGAATTAGTGCTGAACGACTGCACCCTTGATGCAGTATTAGTGCAACATGCAGGACTACTGTTGAAAGGATATGGTTTATTAATAGCAACCATAACTGAGTTATGCCTCAGCCTATTGTTAAAGAAGAAATAGTATTAGCAATACTTGCCTAATGCTCATATCTGACTAAATACAGTCAAGGCACATAAGACAAGTTCATGGAATGGACTACTTGCAGTCTCCTTTTTATCCCCAAGAGTGGTGTGTAATGATGCATATTGAACAGAAGAGGGTTCAGATTTGTTTAGGATTCTTAATCCATCAGTCATCTCAACTTTTAGAACTTTTCTATTATAAACCTTTTTCCCTCTAATGTATTATTCTAATATCTATACATAAATAGAGTATGTGAAAACCCGGTTAAACATTAGCTTCATCTGTTTTTCAGCGTCACCACAACTGGAGACTGATTTGAATGCATCAGGTCATACTTTCTTCCCCTGCTGCCTTAGCTGTTTATCCTGAAATTCACATTATTATTTATATTACAACTGTTACTTATTTTATTGATGTTAAGAAATGAGGAAACAGCCCTGAAAATTGAATGCTTAGATATTGAAATGGCAGCACAATTCAGTTGGGAACCAAGCACTCATTTCCTTCCTTAAAGTCCTTTTTACATGAGAGAATCCACAGAATGAGCACAGGTTTTATGTAATTCTCTCTTCTAGTTGTTGTACAGCAAACATGCAGTCACAATTTAATAATTTCCACAGGCTGGAGAATCCGCAGCATCCAGAAGCAGGCTGTTATATATTGCACTTGCTGATTTAAAAAAAAATAAACATATAAGATGTCCCTTTGATTTTTGGTTTGACCATGTATTCTAACTGCTTAGATCTGCTTTCTTCTAGGTTAAAAACTACTGACAGTTAGCAATCTTTTCTCTACGTACCTTTAGACAAGGACCAAGTCACATTTTAACATCTTCCAAATGCATTGACTTTTTAAGTATCTTGCCTAAAGTTATGTTTCTTCAGCAACTGACCTATAATTATGGCTCTCTTCTGAATCCTTTCCAGTTGTTTCAGCTTCTTCCTCCAAAAATGTGGGCCTGAGCTGGACACAGTATTTCAGCATTGCTTCTGCTGTTGTTACATGTATTTAAAAAAATAAAAAATTGCTCCTCTAAGTCTATTTGCTTTTCCTGCCCATGTGCCAAGACTTGCTCACCCTTCACCACCTCCTATCTGCAGTGCTCTACCGGGAGCAGTAGGTCACATGAAAGCAGAGTAAGACCCCTTTATTCAAATCAGTTTCACAGATGCCCATCTTCCAGAAGGTTGTAGGTATCCAGCAGATACAGTCCTGTTTTCTTCCCAGCATCATTTCTGACCAGATCAGTTTTTTTGTTGTTCTTTGTGGATTTAGGTAGTCAAAGAAAGGAAAAGTGTTTAGGCTTAATCACTGTCTTTATGAAAACAAAGAAATACATAGCTTTTCCACAAAACTTGTCTTTAACAGTTTGACTCTGGCAACTTCAAAACTTCAGGTTTTCCTCAGGAACCTTTAAGCTCAGGTGTCCCAAAATATTAGGACAAATAGGTGGGCTATGGAAAGGGATGCAAAATAAACACAAATATATTTCTTTTAAATGCATGCTGCTTAGTCAGGTTTTGTCCTATTTTAGATGGAGTCGTTGCTAATTTGGAAATGTAGTATGGAAGAAAATGTTCAGGAATTTTCTTTCCCCTGGGAGTACAGAGCTTGTAAATAGTGTTGTGACTTCATGTTGGCAGTTTGCTGACTTTAACTCCATCCATTTGCAGGGTGTGGCTAACATCTTTCAGATTGTTACGGCAAGGAGGTTTAGAGGAAGCATGTGGATGTTCTAGCTGTGGAAGTTTCTTCCAGTCATGTTGGTAGTTAAGGTTGCAAAGGAGCACTGTAGTACTACAATCCCATATTCTCTGCAGATTAAACAGAGAGACTTGCCCTGAAAAGGCTTCACAGTTTTTCTGTATTTAAAATAATATTAAGGTCATTCATAATCTTCTTATGTACAGAACTATCATTTGGCATTAGCAGCATTACTTTTTTCCTCTGGTTTCATAATTCAGCTGTTCACTTCTGTAATAAAATACATCTTTTAGAAACAGTCCACTTCTATATGCTAATTACAGCACTGAATACTTTCTAGGAATTACAGCAGCAGCCTGCTTATTAGTGTATGAGGTATGTGTAGCTTTACTCATACTGATTGTGTTCAGCAGAGGGTTCTTCAGTTAAGCTATTTGGATAGTTATCTACGCTATTCTAGTGTGAACTTCCTATGGTAGCAGAAAATGCCCAGATCCTTGGCCTTTATTGAGGAGAAAGAGTTTTGTCTTTTTACATAGTATTTCAAAATACACAAACCAAATAAAATTCAACAGCTATTAAGAATTATCTGGTTTCAGTTCAGGTTGCTGACTGATGTAGACTTTAACTTTTCACCACTGCAGATGAACAGAAAGATCTTCAGAGGAATCTAATGTGTTACATATGTGAAACCAACAGCTCAGCAAGATGACTATAAAGGAGGACTGTAGCTATGATCAACACTCGCTGAACAGTATTTCATATTCTAGTTAGTTCATACTTAGCTATAGCTAGAATTATTTGTGCATGTATCTGTTGACTACCTTCCAAATCCTGTCCTGCTTGCAGTAAGTTTAAGATATGTAAAGGCAATCTTATTCAAAAGCTTTAAGGGTGAAATTTCTAAAGGCTTTTGTCTGATGAAAATTCAAGTCATGTATTTCTAGACTAGCAGCATTCAGTACCATTTCTGTTAAAAGTCGGAGACATTTTTACAATCCAATTCCAAATACCTACCTGAACCAGTCTTAATGAGTTGGTCTAATTTCAGTGGTGGTGGTCTTTTTTATTTAGGAGAGTTGATTTTGAAGACATACATCAACTAGTATTTCTGTATTCCCTGTGGCACCTGCTCTTTTTGCATCATTTGTTTCTTTTTTAGTAACTTCCCAAATATTGTCTCAAATAAAAGCCAAACCTACAGTCTATGTGTTTAGTTTGTAATTTTCTGAATTAATAGAACTGGTATAGTTGCCTGAATCTAAAGAATAAAATAAGGTACTCTTTCCATGTGTACGTGGGGCTGGGTTCCTCATTGCAAAATGAGCTGGGCAAAGGAGACGTGGGTGCTTTAACATTGTCAGCATACAAGTGTCTACAGCAGTTTTTCAGCTGGGGTTTTTACAGCCCTCTCCCTCTCTAGGTAGCTAGTATTCACAATGGCACAGTATTCACGCAGGCAATGTCGCGGTGTGGCCCAATGCCTGCTGAGGGAGCTGCTCCAGTGTGATCCAGCCTATGTGTGCCAATCTTGGCCAAGTTTCCATGATTGAGAAGAAGGGTGAAGTGAGCATGAGAAGTGTAAAACACTGGGAATGTTGGGACCACTTGGATTCCTCTTTTCTCATAGTAACACAAGTCTATGTGGCTACTTAGTAGCAAATCGTCAGCATGTTATCCACAAAACAATGGCTTTTAAAAATATACAGGTATCATGTTTGTTTTCTTACACAGTCAGCATGAGTGTTTAAATGCTCACAACATAGTCAGTTTTTCTGCTAAATATGCGCAGGTCACCGGCATGTGAGATGGTGTGTGATTTTTTTTGTTGTTGTTTGTCCCGACTCTTGTTCCCTGGCCACCCCACACTCCCCAATTCCTGTGGTCAACAAAGGTTGAGAAACAGTGTTGTTGAAAACTTCCTCCTTAGTTCCTAGAAGGCAGAAGGTTGCTTTTTGAGTTTATTATCTTTATAAATTTGTTTTTATTCATCCTGTGGACGTACACCTCTCCCAGGTGCTGAAAAGAGATAGACTGACCTGCTTGCTTCTTCCCCTGCTTCTGGCGATGGAGTCCAACCCCTTCCTGGATCTGGTAGTCATCTGCTCCTCCTGCCTCCCCATGTGTCCTTTTCTTCCCTTGTTAGCTGATTCAGCCCACTGACCCTGTAGTATTTTTTTTTTTCTTCAGTTAGCTCCCCCACCATGGCAGTATTAAGTCACCTTAGCTCTTGGAATCCCATCCTTCAGTCCACTTCTAGTATATTTTCAACATCAGGAACTGGGAAGGGTGGTGTGTAATGGCTGGGCTGACTGTGCCATGAGGCATAGCCCCGTTGTGCCAGGGGTCCTTGTTGGTTGATGAGCTGAAGAACCTGGTCAAGGGAGGTGCCACGCTATTTCTAGAGGCACTGCAAACTCTATTCCCCTGGTACAGTCAGACATATGGGGAGTACTTTTAGCCCTGCAGAAGACGGGAGATGTTAATTTTGCTCCCTGTAAACCATGTAACATCCCTGCAAAGTAAACAAGAAACTGGGAATGATTCATTTTTGTCCTAGGAAATGAGGTTAAAAGACTGGATTTTTGATCAGAACAATGTTACACAGTAGCTGCTAGGATATGGATTCTTCATCCTATGTTCCATACTTTGTTTCATCTGTATGTTTAATAAACTGACTGCTAGTTTAGTCTTTTAAGTATGTTGTATTGACAATCCAAATGTCATCTGTCAGAAAACAGACTGTTGCTGGACCTGTCTTTGATATTCAGGCTGAGAAGAGTATTTGCAGTCATTTCAGTTTCTGCATAGGGACATAATACAGGATACCAAGCTTTTCCAGATAAGCTTGTGTCTAGCCTGTCCATTTTTTGTTTGCTGTGAATGTGAAAGGCTGATATCAGTGTGACTTTAAATCCAATTTTCTAACAACTGTCCACATGTTTTCTGCCTGATACGTTTTTTTGATCCACACCACAGCCTGACACTTTCAAAATTTAATCAAAGGCTTTTAAAAAAAGCTTCCCAGGAGGAGGGGATGACAAAAAAAAAAAAAAAAAAAAAAAAAAAATCAAAAAAAAACCCCAAAAAACCCCAATCCATTCCTTTGTCCTATAATCTTCAGACAGATTTTGTAATTGAAACAGCTGGCATTCAAGATGTAACCAAACTTAAAGTCATTGTTTTCTTAAACTTCCTTCTCCAGTCAAAAACCTTACTGTGTTCTTATCCCCTACAGCAGTACTCTTCTGCGCTGCTGAAGGAGGCAAATCTATACTATGACTCCAGACTGGGATTGGCCCATAAAAATTGCTGTCAATGTAATGTAATGTAACGTAATGTAACATATTTTATATATTAGGATGGAAAGCCTTTACTTAACCTTTATAGGACCACAAATGAAACCTAACAAAAACAATCACAAATTTGTTTCATGTCTGTGAAGGGATCTCTTCAGGTCTTTTGTTTCTTTAATGGCAGTTCATATTGCAGTTTACCAAAATATTTCAGGTTACTAAAATATAACGCATGAAGTAATAGTTTTTTATTGTTTTCAGTTAGTATGGGAAATAATGAAAATATAATACTTTAAAATTGTTATTATAATTTTGACTTTCCCAATTTCCCTCACCTTTAGGAATTTTTTGAAAATGAAACTGATAAATTTAACTCAGTTGGGTTTTATTCTATCATAAATTGAAACAAGAAATATATCGAGGCTCAAACTGACAGTTACATTATTTCAGACTATCACATTGCCATATGTTTACAGAGCTGCAGTAATGGTGTACATGAGCGTATTTGTGCACACAGCCTTAACCTGCAAAAAAAAAAAAAAAAGAGAAGAAAATGCCATTTTGATTTCCTTCAGGTACAAACTAAAGCTCACCCCCTTGTATTAGCTGTTGGAGAATGTTCCTGGGCAATTACTATGTCTTGGCTGATAACATGAATCCTGACTTTAAGTTAAGTGAAAATAAACGGCATATTGGAAAAAGCACATCAAATTCTAAAAACGGAATGTCATGCAATTTTCTCAAACAGAAATGTGCTTCTCCCTGCCCTTTGAGAGGGAGGGAACCTGCACTAACAATTTACCCTAGTTCTGAAAATTTCCCCTAGGGTTTGCCCAGGTTTGCATTTATAATTACATCAGTGCAACTCTAATAAAAACTCAATGCCTTCCTTGCTGAAGCTAATCCTTTTTGTACTGGTGCAGTTTATCAAAAGGCAGGGTTTGAGACTGTGTGGTTGTTAAAGTCTAGTTAGAGCTGTGTATCTTTACAAGGACTTTCAGAGCTCTGGCTGATGTAAGATCACAGACATAATACCAAAAGGATGGATAAATGGGAGAGAGGAGGGTAGCACGATTACCGGTAATCATGACTAAAAACGAGCAAAATGGGTTTCAGAAACTGCAAATCTTTGTAATGGCAAAACCAACAAGACGCTATTTCTGATTTTCTTGTTGCTTATCATATAATGCTGGGGAGAAAAGAGGTAACTTAGGAACCTAACAAATTTTCTAAAACAAGCTTTTCCCGCTAGCAGAAGCATTAGTTTAACGCTAATGTCTTATACAAAAGGCCAATGACAAATCAGTGGTAAATGGCTTTCATTTATTCAGCACTGGTCTGTTTTCAAATATATAGCACAGCATAATTGGAAAAGTGACATGGAATTGGAAAATCTACTGCATGTTAGTAACCATATTTTTTCATGAAGATTTTGTGAGCTTTTTTGTTGTTGCTAACTTAAATATTACGTGAGGCTTTGGTAGTTATACTGAATATGTATGTACAAGTAAAAATTATCAATGGTATGAAGATCAAGAGATGTAACTAATTCTTTTTTGTATGCCACTTCCTTCCTCTTTCTTTTGTTAGCATGGCATGACCCCTCTAATGCATGCAGCGTACAAAGGGAAAGTAGACATGTGCAGGTTGCTCTTGCGACACGGAGCTGATGTTAACTGCAATGAACATGAGCATGGATATACTGCCTTGATGTTTGCTGGACTTTCAGGTAACTTACTAAACTTAGATCACTGATTTTTATGACATTGATGGGTACAATTTGCCATAAATTAATAATTTAAAGGAAAATGATGACATGTTTTTATTATTCAGGTTTACTGCTACTTACGTGAACCATGCAAATATGTCAAGACAGTAGAATCATCAGGACATTGGAACAGGAGAGCTACTGTTTAGGCTTGGGAACTTTTTTCATATAAAAATTGATTTTGTTCAGCGTTTGGAGGCATAGAGTCTATCTGTACTTTGTCCTGTTTGTTACAGATCTCAAAATGCAGCCTCCTGTGACAGTTTTCTTGTGCAGTGGGATACATTCTGTTTAACTATACTGTGTTATACTGAAAAAGACGCTGCACCAAATTGCTTCTTTTAGGACTACAAATCAGTCGCTTTTAGTAGTATTTGAGGCAAATCAATCCAGTACTTTTGAAATTTTGCCTTTCTTCTACATTATTTTTGCAGTTATGTTGTGGGCTTTTAAAAATATATCTAATAAGTTTTAAAAACATGTTTTCTCAGCTTAATTTTCCCTCCTCTCTTACGCTATTTTTTTTTCATGAGAGTGCTTATAGCTGTATATATCTTCTCCTGTCTCAAGTAGTAGTTTGCAGCTTTCCTCTTGCTATTCTTTTTCCCTGATGAAAGGAACAATTATGTCCTTGAGTGAGAAAGAGACACTACTTTAAAAACATTGTTTCTTCTGGGGAAAAGATTACATTTGGGAATATTAGGTTATTTTAAGTATCTTCTTTACTAGGCCACTTATATCTTCCCAAAAAGTAGATTCTAGGGAAGTAAGATTTCTTGGCAGGTAGAGTTTAAACTCTGCCTTCTTTCATCATAAGAAAAGAAAGGCATGTGCGTGTATATGAACTTTAACTGGATCAGATCGCTTTTCAGCTAAAACTTTGGTAAAAAGATTTGGGAAACTTCAGCATTCTGTGGCATTGAGCAATATCAGAGCTGCAGCAGATAGGTGGGAACGAACTCTTAGAGGTTGTTAAATGACTGCAGCTTTATGGAGTATGCTGAATTTTTACCATTTTCTCACAGCTGAGCTTTTAACATCCTGGGTTTGAATGCTTCTGAATGTTGACTTCAAGGTCTGTTATCTGTGAGTGCAAAAGGTACATGAGCACTACCGATGCAATGCCTTTGTTTTAAATCAGAAACATTCATTTCCATACACTACCTCCTTTTTTTATATTCACTTTTCTGTATTTAGCATATGCACAAAACCTGATAAAGTAAGAATACCTTTGAAAGCAGAACCAGCACGAGTGGTGGCAAGTGCCCTTATTAGTCTCTGAAGGGGACCAATTAAGTCATCTAATCTTCCCATCAAATTTTAGCTTCATTTTACTTGGTATTTAGCCCAGTCTGAACACCCAGTTCCTGCTGTGGAGAAAGGAACAATCTGTTCTCTTCTTTATGCTCCTGCTACATAATAGTACTGGATTTGTTTTTCTTCTTAGAATAGCAAATGTTATAGTTGAGCTGTCAAACTAGATTAGTAGAATTTCCTTCGATACTGCTATCCACAGGGACCAAGCTCTAGTGTAGTTACATGCATATGACTCCCATAAGCTCCACGGGGAGCTGAATGTGCATTACAGAGAGCAGAGTTATACCCTGCCTGAATTTAGTTTTTATTTTGATTTGACCCTCTGGAACCATAAATAAGGAGGCAGCACCATGCCTTTCTCTTAATCCATTCTCAATAACATTAAGAACATTCATTTCCCTCAGTATTATTCCTAGTCTTTAAGAAATTCACTCCTTGTTTTTCTACAGCATAAAGAATTACAAGTTCTGGTTTGTTCTCTCTCATTCCCCATATCTTCTCCCCAAATTCAGGAAACAAAGAAATCACCTGGATGATGTTAGAGGCTGGAGCAGAGACTGACGTTGTCAACTCTGTGGGAAGGACAGCAGCTCAGATGGCTGCTTTTGTGGGTAAAGTGAAAGTCTATTATCATTTCCTAAATGCCTAAAGAAGTAAAAAGTTAGATTCTGATGCTTTTTATTGGAGAAACGTTATTTAATGACCTGTTCTGAACTGACACAGTTGTTCAGCTTTTTTTTCCACATCTCATCCTGTAACAGAGTCAATTTGTGTTCTATTCCCATGCTTTGTTTCATAAAAGCACAAATGATCTTATCTGTAAGAACAGATGCTGCTGTTCTCTAAGTGTGCAAGTTTTTGCAATGTCATCCCTTTTCAAATTGTGAGAGGAAGCTGGTAACATCTGAGGTGTCTGAAGTGCAGGTAAGTGCTTCTGCAGTACAAAGTGCATAACTGGAGCTTCCTTTGTGGGAAGGAACAAACGTAGCACTAGGAGTCAGGAACTCTCATCTGAGCTTTGCCGTGAGCATGCTGTGTGCTAGTGGTGAGTCACCTCCTGCCCTTCTCCCTCCGCATTTGGGAGAGGGAGAAGTCTCGGCACCTGTTCTGAGGTAGTCAGTACTTACTGACCTGAACTCGACTAGAAAAAGAGAAAAGATTTGTCATTCCAGTATGCTGTGTGATCCTGGGCAAAACATGAAACCGGGTTTTTTTCTGTTGTTATGTTTCTTGTCTTTATTTTATAAACCCTTTTTACTTCTTTACCCATCTTGACAGTGCTGGGAGATTCCTGGATTAACATTCCCAAATATACCACTTTTTCCCTATTTCTAGCAAGAATGTGTGATAAAATATTACCAGAAAAAGTAGAGTCATTTTAATGACTCAGCTATTGCTGTCCAGATGACTTTCCCAACAACCAAAAATGAGGACCTGTATTATTTTCACTTCAACACAACCTTCTCATATTGTTTAAATGTCTGAGAACTCCCTTACAAGTCCATTAGGTGTTCCAGATTCAAGAGCCTACCTTGCCATTTAGATTTACTTCCTTGAATAGTGAGTTAGTGCAGTCTCAATTTCAATCATATCTCATTCTGGTCTTTTAAAGAGGAAAAGATTGACATAGCTGACTTCAGGTTCAAGCAGTAAAACCTTAACTATTCACTTAATATGTCAGAGAAGTCCACTCCTATTAATTATACTTTGGATTTGGAGAGTCTTTTCCAATGTGATGCTGAATTGAATTATTAGTGAATGGGGAATATTATCTCCAATGTAATTTTGGAGAATTCTTGTTTAAAATCTCATCACGTCACCAAGATAGAATAAATATTTTCAGGCATACTGAGATATGCTACTCTGTAAAAGTCTGAACATTGGAATCCATTCCTGTTTTCTTTTTTATTCTCTGTCCAATCAACATTAATTCATCTGTCTGTGTGTGGGAAGTGAGGATACTTCTTCCCCTGCCATTTGTCTTAAACTGTGGTCTATTAGCTTAGAACAGTCTCTTCTAAAACAGTGGAGGGTTTTAAATGCTGGAATTTGGTTGGCTGTGTCATCTTCTACTGATTAATAGGATTAGTGCCAAGATAAATCAATCAATTTAAAGAATGTGGTCCTGAACTAGAGAAGCTAAATTTTACTCTCCCTTTAGCCAAGTAATCCATCATATTGTCAGATGTAGAAAACAAGAAGGGGGTGTAACTTCTCTCATCTTGTTACTTTAATCACAGTCCCTTTTTTTTTTTGGTAAATTTTAATCATGTTCTGTTCTTATAATTTCTCCCACTTTAGGTTAATACGCTACTATCTGTTTCAGGTCTGAAATTTTACAAGTCTCAATGCAAATGGCATTAATTTTTGAAAGTACAAAGTGGAGAGAACTTACCTTGAAAAATTTTAACACTAGTATGAGACTACTAGTGTAGTATAACTTTGGGGAGAAATACCTATTCTCTTAGTTTTGGCTTACCAGGGAAAGAGCATGCAGGAAGGGGACAGAGTTCTCAAAATGAGATTTCATTAAGTCATTCCCTGCTGGGAGTCAGTAAGTTACACTTACTGAACATAAAAGTTACACACAAAAGAACAGCAAGAGTTGCCTGTTACCAGTGCAAAGCGTATCATGCTAAGCTCCTTTGTGGGTAATTCTCATCTGTATTGCTTAGATTAGATTTGGGTTTAGGTATTATTATTATTATTATTATTATTATTATTATTATTATTATTATTATTATTATTATTATTATTATTTCATTGGTGATTTTTTTTCTTGTGTGCCTTTAGGTCAACATGACTGTGTGACCGTCATCAACAACTTCTTTCCACGTGAAAGGCTGGACTACTATACTAAACCACAAGGCTTAGATAAAGAACCAAAACTGCCAATAAAATTAGCGGGGCCTCTGCATAAAATTATTACTACTACTAACATGCATCCTGTTAAGGTGGAGTAATATGAAAATTTTATGTGTTTGTGGCATGGGAACTGTTTCTTTATGTCAGAAAGCATTCAGCTCTTCTGAGAGTCCAACTGAGATCAAAAGCATTATCCATTAATTCAGATGTTTTTGAAAATGAGAAGGAATCAGGCTCAACATTTAGATGTGATTAAAAAATGAAGCTATTTCAGTGTCTATATACACCAGAATCTTGAACTAACACCCCTAAGTGGAGAGATTCTTATTTTTTACATCAGTAACCATAAATAGCTTTCTTTTTTGGCTTTCTTTTTTTCCTAGCCCCACTTGAAGTGGAAGCATAAAACAATTTCCTACCTTAACAAAATCTCATTGTTCTCTCAATGCTTGTCTCGGCATGTATCTTCCTACCTTCATCACTGGTTCACCATAGTAACTGCTGCTGCTGCTGTTTCTGAAAGTATGTGCAGGAGAGATTTATTTTTACTTCCCAGTATATTTGCTGAAAATAATGTCTTCTATGGTTTGATCCTCCAGTGTAGTTCAGAGAAATTAATACACTTAAATTCAAAGTCAAGTTCCTTGGGCTTGCCATCCAAAGTCAGGAATCTGTCAGCAGTTGCCAACCAGGTATCTGCAGTACATACAAAGAGTAATGCACCAGTGGCAGCTAATTCAGTGAGTAGAGTATACAGTTTCCTCTTAAAATGGCTAGTTCAGTGCTTTACTAGTCCACCTGAAGTACTCCAAGATTATGTGAGGTTGATGTGTTCTGTGAAATTGCTTAAATCATAAAAGTCCACTTTATTTTAGGTGTTCAAAAGCAAAGAGATTCTAGGACAGTGTATGGTAGTTTCTGTAACTGTTTCTTTTGAAATGGTTTTGATTCTTCAGGTTCTTACTCTGAAAAAAATCCTTATTATTTTTAATACCAGTCTTAATTTAAATGTTTCTTGTATGGGAACTGTGAATTACAACGGAAAAAAGAAGGGGAAGACTGCATAAGGTGGAAGTAAAAGAATATTAGAAACTCCACTGAAATTTAGTTACAATGAGCTATATAACTTTTAATGCCAATGCACAAGTTTAAAAATACTAGTTCCTAATTGGATTACATTTTCTTCAATCTTTCTCATAGATTGTGTTGCTGGTAAAAGAGAACCCTCTATTGGCTGAAGTAGAAGCACTGCAGAAATGTTACAGGGTTCTGGATCTAATTTGTGAGAAATGTATGAAGCAGAAAGATATGAATGAAGTACTTGCTATGAAAATGCACTACATCAGTTGCATCTTCCAGAAATGTATTACATTTTTAAAAGAGCGAGAGGATAAACTAGATGGATTTATCAAAAGGTATGTGTATGAACCAGCTTTACAGATACCAGAAAAAGACAACTGTAATAATAGATTAGATTGTCTTGGATAAAGCCTATGCCAAGTAAATTTCAAAACAGTCCCAGCTGCAGTCACTTCAGGGTGGCATTGACTCCCTTTTCTCTGTCTGAAGTGGCATTGTCCTTTCCGGGGGTACAAAGGAAGCATTCCTAGAGTTTCAGCTCCCTGCTGGAACTGGTTAGAGCTTGGCAATCACACGTACACTATGAAGCAGCAGAGAGCAACATGTGGTGGAGAAAAGGGGGAATGATAGGCTTGAAAAAAGAATTTCTCAATGTCCGATATGGATCATCTGGGAACGCTTCTCTTGCCATTTTGCTCTCCAGCAGTCATACAGGGTGAGATTTTTTTTTCCAAAAACACTTAAAGCAACTGACAACTGCAGATCCCGCTGGCTTTGGATGAGACTGGGACTCTTAAATCACTTAGATCTTCAGAACCCACTCAGAGTTACAAAACCAGCTGCCTGATCTTAAGTATCAAAGTAAATGGCGTGGCTTTTAGAAGGATCGCATTCCCCATAGACCTCCATGGATTTCTACATGACACTGAAAATAAATGAAGTCAGCTTTCACATACTGACATCAAATAGTTCATCAGTGATCCATATAAAAAAGTAGGAGCCAACCAGATAGATATAGAGGCATCAGGACAGGATTATAACAAGTTATTAAAGTAAGTAAAGCAGAATTTGTATGTAAAGTATTATGCATTCTTCAGTATTTATTTTTACAATGCTCATTTTTAAACACAACAAAGCATTTCACTACTTTAGTCAGATGTAGATACTAGTCTACCTGTAGATGATTATTTTTCTCTGTGTGGTTGAAATAGTAAGTAGTGGTTTCAGAGTGTACATTTAGTTATTTTATATTTCATAATGATTGTGCATTAGAATAAAAATAATTTCATTTGCATTTAAACACGTTTATATATGAAGTTGCCAAATTATTTTAATTTATAATTCTCTATAATTTGAAAGAGGACAGAGTACAGCATGCTGTGTATTTGTTCTTGATCATGTACTATGTGATTTCTTATTTGACGTTGGTTTTTAAAAATTTAGTCTCTTGAAAGGGAGAGATAAAGATGGTTTCCCTGTATATCAAGAGAAGCTAATTCGAGAAAGTATCCGAAAGTTTCCTTACTGTGAAGCTACGTTGCTCCAGCAGCTTGTGCGAAGCATTGCTCCTGTTGAAATAGTAAGTTTTTCCTATCAAGAAAATACTTCCTAAGCAACTTGCATAGTAAATTCAGTTTAAACTAAGCCATCTTTCTGTTTCTCAGCTTCTGCCATGTGTTACATTAAGCAAAGGTTTTTGATGTCCCTGAACCCTCTGGCAAACTGGAATTTTATTTTGCGTATTGCAGGAAAATGCTCTAAATACTTCAATTAGTAGTTTTTTCCTGTGCCCATGATGAGTGCTTAAATACCTCAGCTTTTAAAGAAAACTGAAATAATTTGGTTTTTTTGTCTCAGAGCTTTCTTTTCCTTCTCTGGGATGTCTAGTCAGTTTTTCTTTGCCAATTCACTTTTACAAATTATAGATTCAGACATAGGTGAAACTCATTTTGTGCTCTTTTTTCACAGTCTAAATTCAATTTAAGATCAGATCCTTTCCTAGATTTAATGCATTCATTATTTCTAGTGTACATGAAAAGTTGGTAATATGATGGTAGAAAAAGAAAAAATATTCTGTGACGCTCCTTTTATCACAGAGAGAGGCAAGATGATGCAATGTAGAGCAAAATGTGTATCTAAATTAGGAAATCAAAATTACAAGTAAAAGATCTAACTTCAGTTTTCCTCACATGCCTTTGCTAACACACTCTTATAACAGTATTAATTACTTCATAATAAATCTTACACAAGAGTTACTATTCTTTTTTAAGAATGTTCTTTCTAGTCTCTGAGAGCTAGATGTTACATGCACTAACACTGGGGAAGTGGAACAATTTTGTGACGTGTTTGGATTATGCTGAGTGAATTAAAAATAGCCTCCATCTTAAGTGGCTCCAAGTCTACTAAAATGTCCTGAGGCTTAGTGCAATCCCTACTGTTTGTCTAAGCCAGAAAAATAAATACAGTGTGAAAACATAAGCCATCATGATGCATTAAGACTTGCTTTAGAGTAAACATTTTCCTTCCTGTCCCTTTTTTCTTAGAAGAGCTTGCAGTCTTTTCTGCCTTTAAAGAAATATGGTTTGTTACATTGGATTTCTGTCCATTATGCAGAACTGGAAAGGAGGAGATGCTATAAATTTTTATTTGTCTGGAAGCCTTTGACCTTTGGCATATACAATTACTTGGCTTCAGTCTGGGCACCTCAGCATTGTTGTAGTAGTTACGATCGTGCATATTCCATGGTACTCCAACAGTTTAAGGATTTACTTAGAGCTGGAGCAACTTGGCATTTTTTTCCTCTAATGTTTACATCATTGCCCAAAAGAATAGTCTTAATTTATGGTTACCAGTAAAATATACTAAATCTTACTGCTTGTATTGCATGGGAAAGATACTGCAAACAATATCTAAATAATAATATGCAAATAGTTGTTTTGAAGATTTCAAGTTCTGACCATTTGGTCTGTAGCATCTGAGTACACTGAGCACAGTAGTATATCAGTGACAAGTAAAATATCTTTCTGTGTGCCAGCACAGACTAATCTGCAAAAACCTGCTGCATATGACCTACAACTGGGTGACTGTGTGTAAAGAACACTGAGTTCATTAATAGTAGTATTAATAATTTACAGAGTAAAAAAATGATAATTTTTATCCTCCCTTCTACAGAACGTAAGGACTAAGTTAACTTTATATACAAAAATTTATCTAACCATATACATGTTAAATTTTGCATGTTAGTTGAAGTTCTATGATTTAGTTTATGTTCTTGCTGCTATAGCATCTTCAGTGAGACTGCAGCTGGCCAGCTGGAAGCTTGCATTGCTTGTTTTGTTATTCTCTTGCATGTCCCTCTTCATGATAGTGTTGGTTTTTAATCCCATTCCCGCTGTTTGTCTTACCTTTCAGGGTTCTGATCCTACAGCTTTTTCTGTACTTACACAAGCTATTACTGGCCAAGTGGGTTTTGTGGATGCTGAATTCTGTACAACTTGTGGGGGAAAGGGAGCGGACAAAAGATGTTCAGTATGTAAAATGGTAAGAAACCATAAATAGTTATAATGAATCACAAGAAGTAGTGCCACTGAGGTGCTGAGGATTTTGAATGCTTCACTATTTACTGTGTAGACTTAGGAGGAATGGCATGTATGCCTACACTGAAAATGTGCAAGCCATCTACTTCTGGGAGAGATGCCTGAAATTCACGAGTACTTGGATTTCCAACTGTGTATGTTTAAGAGTGAAGAAAGAGTAAAATTTCTGTATGTTCAGCGTTAACAAAACAAACTATTCTTTATGGATTTTTATATAGGTTAGAATCACTCCATGTGACCTTACAAATTGCTTAAAAATACCATTAAGTACTATACATAGAGAGATTTAACTTGGTACACTAAGAAATGCAAGAATATTGTATATTTTTTTAGTACATGAAGATGAATTGATAGCTCTGGTAACTTTCAGGTGATGTACTGCGACCAGAACTGCCAGAAAATACACTGGTTTACCCACAAAAAAGTCTGCAAGACCCTGAAGGAAATTCATGAGAAACAAGAACTAGAAGCTGCCAAAGAAAAAAGGAAACAAGAAAAAAAGCAAAAGAAAGGTTAGGATCTATAGTTTGCTTACTGAAGCGAATGCTGCATTAACCGCACCACAAGGAACAACAGTAACAGGTCTTAAAATCTGGAACAGCTGAGGTTGAAAGAAGAATCTTTGTTGTAACATAAAAGCATACCTGCATTTGTTGGAATTCTAGTCTTTCAATTTACAAATACTGTGTACTTTCTAAAATCTGGTTTTTAATGCTAGAGTTACACAGGTTTCTACAACTAAAGCATTCTGAATTGCACTGCACTGTTTCAAAATCCAAATCTTTAATCAAAATCATGCAGAAGTTTCATGTTACTCTACCTTTCATTGGAGGTGTTAGGACAAGTTGGATAATAAGCAAGCAGTCCACTCCTTCCAGTTGCAAAGGTTAATGTAGATGATAACTCTCCTGTGATACTGTCTTCTTCATAATCACAATATTAAGTTAATTGTGTTGTGTACTTTGAATGTGAAGAAAGAAAACATTAGTCTTTAAACTGTTAACGGTGTTTTTCTCCCTTCAATAAGCAAATAATTAATGCATAATAACAGAAAAAACACCGTATCACCCCCCTTTAACTTACTCTGCTACAATGTTTCTGTAAGTGAAATAATAGGAAAATTGGGGATGAAATCACTTTTTCTCTTTTACAACTTAGTAGATTCCCCCTCCCTTGTTTTAAGGATTGTAGAAGTGCACTGGACAAATCACGTTTGTCTTAACAATGGTAGTATTCTTTACTTCAGCTGGACTCTAGAAACTATAGCTGGATATAAATTAGTATTTATTGAAGTTTTCAACAGCTTCCTGTGATGATCTTGTTACAACAAGAGCTGCTGTTGCGTGGGATCAAAATGACTGTGGAAATTGGAGGCAAGGATACTAGAAATCCCTGAATATATTGCATACCAATACAGCAAAACATAATGAGCTGTGAGCAGTGTGATGCCTCACAATGGTGGCAAATACACACACTTGCAGGTTCATATTAACTGAACAAGTCAGTGACCGGGTGCTGTCCTCTTCAGAGGGAGAGACAGGATCTTGGTGGATGGCTCTTCTCCCTCCCTCCCTAAAAAGGGAAGCTAACATCTTTTGACATGTTACTACTGCACTATCTACATGTTAATCTTCATTAAATTCTTCAGATAGATGGCCAACATGCTATAGACCTTATCAGATTATGCATTGTTAGCAAGACAGTGAATTTGTCGTAGCTTCAAGTCACCTTGTGAATAGTGGGGTATCAAAGCTTTTCATATGAACAGCAGTTTTATTTTAAAAAGCTAGTAATACCCGCTACCAAAAAAAAGGGAAAAAAAAATCCCACCGCTGCAACTACAAGCAAAACCAAGAGTTTAAGAGTTTCCACTGTACAAGGGTGAGTGTTAAGGAAGTCTGTGCTTCAGCCTGTGCTTAAGGCAGTTAGCTCCATAGCCAAATGAGGCCTTTGGCAGGTCTTTGGCAGTGTTGTGGCTAGCTGTGACTGTGTTTTTAGCTGGCTATCAATCATAACAGAGCATAAGAAACCAAGATTAACTACTTCTGAAGGTGCCTGGGCCCCCAATTAGGCTTTCTCCTCTTTCTTTTCAGAATTGCTAGTACACAACCCCTACTTAGCAGAATCAGGGCAAAAAGTTATTTAACCATTTTTTTTCTCTGAAAACATTGCTTGAAAAGTAAAGGTGCAATAGCTAATTCCATTCCATGCAGTCAGGTTATAAATTTTAAGATGATTCACTTCAACCAAAGTTCACTGTGGTCAACTGCTCATTAGCAAATAATTTCTTCAGTCTGTTATATGCAAAAAAGCTTCCTACGTAATCACATACATGCCTCTAAGAAAAACAGAAACCCAACTGTACTCTATGTTTAACTGGCCTGCAGCCATTCTTTGAAAAGCTAACTGTAAGAATATTGTCAATAAAACAAGCTTGAATTGGAAGTTAAAATAACTGTAGTGTCCTACTCTGCTCCTCTACATATTAAAAAGAAGTATGGCAAAATTGAAGATAAATTAATGAGAGCTTTGTGTATGGTTAGTTCAGAGTAATCTTACACCAATTTAAGCAGAACTCTAGTGTCTTAGGTCTTTTTTGACATAACTTGGTTAAATTAATCATTTGTAATTGATGCAAAGTTTCCTAGCGTTTATTCAATAATAAAAATGTTTGCTTGCAGATGAGTTCAGTGTTTACTGATTATGCGATTTCTCTTTTGTTCAGATGAAGTGCAACTAGTAGAGGGTAGTTCTACAAGTGAAGAACAGTCAGATCCTCGTCCAGATGCTACCAAAGATATGGATCTAAATCATGCTACTGACCAAACGGAAGAACCTGAATTTACCAAAGAGATGGAGGCACTAGCCCTGCACCCTGAAAGTCCACTGGAAAGTGAGACTGGCTTAGCCGACATTGCTCTTCAAAAAATTCAAGATTCTGAGGAGTAAGAAGAGGGTAGGAGGGGACTAAGAGTTCTGGCTATGTCCCTGTACCTCAAGGGTCCTAAAGAATTTTTTAGGCTGACCATGTCCAAGTTCTTATAGCATGGCTTATGCAAGACTCCCTTCGAAAGACAGCATGTCTCTTCATCATGAGATGAAATACTGTCTAATTTGTCTTATAAGTACTTCAGGTTCTGTTGTAGATTGTCAAAATAGGTATTTACTATCTGATAAAAACTAGAGTGGCATAGATCCATCTGTATGTATACCAACAGTAAGTATAGTAAAAATCTATGAGTATCTGTGGTTAATCAGCCACTTAGTGAAAAATAAAAAGCATTTTATTTGGATTATTCATGTTTTCAGAACCTAAAATTTATTTTAATTGTAATTTAAATATTTTTTTCTGCAAGTACGCAGAACTGTAGTTAGAAGCACTGGGAAGCCAGCTGCTAAATTGCTTTTTTATACCACTTTATGAAGCTTTATCTGAAGGAATTCAATAGCAGTTAAGTTTCTGAAGATATTCATCTGAGTTCTCAACTTTTCATGACATTACTGTAAATATTTTTGACTAGTGAGTGCACAACAATAGTGTCTATTTTGTGGCAATTTTATTAAATGATACTGCTGTTTCAGATGTCTCAAGCTGACTGTGAAATGTGTGTTTCAACAGAGTTATTTCACTATTGGTTTGGTCAAAAATATTCCAAGTTTATCGAAGTCTAATGAAGGGAAGACCAGAATGACTTAAAATAATTTGACTGACAAGAATAATGGTTTCTAAATCTCAGCTTTCAGGTAAAGATGCCTTAGAGCACAATGGGATGTTGCTTATGAATTATTTCATAAACATAAAAGGTGCTTAATATTGTTCATGCTGAACTTGGTCACAGTGAATTAGATGGGAAAATTCATGTGTGCATTGATACAACTGGGATTTCACTTAGGCTTTCAACTAAATTCTGTATCTAGAAAATAGCTTCCCTTAACTATGCTGGTTTCACTCAGATTTAGTACTGTGTCTCATGAAATCAATGGGAATGTGACAACCGAAAATACCGCTTGCTGCATAAGGATGGCAAAAGTTGAGATTCTGTAATTGTTGGATGAATTACTGGTGTTTTGAACATGGCAATATCCTTCAATTTAGAGGAATAAGGACCATCCTCAAAACAGAGGAAAAATGCTATTAATTTTTTACTATTTAATATATTGACAGTTTTTGTTTAATATTCTGAAAACTGTAAGAGTGAGGATACATAAATGCACCTGTGCGGGGAATGTACCTGTGTTTTAATTTCAAGGATTAGTAAATGGCGAAGAATAAAGGGAAGTTTTTTAAAAGAAGGGAGCTGTGTGGCAATTCTCTTTACTGCATCTGTAACGCCTGTTGGGACATAGGGTGACATTCTCATTGGACATGCATGTGCCCCCTGTAGCTCGGGGGTACGAGTTTAATTTCATGACAGTTGCCAGGCAAGAGACATATGCCTGGAACTTAGATATGCTGAGTCACAATGTAGTCACCATCCTCTCATGGATCTGGGAATGCAGAAGTGCTGCTGGTTCCCTATTCTACACGTAGCATTTGGGACTCACAGGGACATATTGCTCTTTAAGGTTTCTCTGAAAATGCAAACCATTTAGGACAAACGATTCAGGATTTCAGAAGTATGGTAAAATCCACAGCACAAATCCTGCTTTCATTCTGCCAGCCAATGTTTTTTCTCAATAAAGAAGAAAAGCCCAAGCAATAGGAGAAGGTGTGAACATTGGAAATACTTGTGAAGTGTGGGATTGTTGATGCAGATTATAGAGTTGCAGTTGTTCTCATTCTAACTTGAAAAGGCTTCAAAGTCATTATGAGCAGAGGCTGCCACATGTCCCTCTCTTGCAGCAAGTCTCAGAGGAGAGCAACCGCAATCCGAGTTAGGGTCCCAGTGCGCACTGATGCTCCAGAGCTACCTCTGCCTTCCTCAGCTTGAGCTGGTGACAGCTCTTCTGCTGGAAGATCATGGTTGATAGGTCCTGCATAAACTTGGGATAATGACTAGCTCTTGCATAATCATGAATTGGAGAAAACATCTTGTGATGTGTTACTTCTAAAGAACTTAAAGTAGAATGAAAATTCATAGGCAATTTACTGATTCCTTAAGCAAGGTTTTAAGTGAGAAGACAGCTGTGGAGCGCAAAGCCAACAGACACACTCTCACTCCTTCAAGGGTGCGTGGTTCAAATGATTTTTCTCCCTGCCACTAGGAAAAACGGAATTCTCACTTCTTCTCTAGCTGTTTGCTAGATATAAGAACATAGCAGCTGTGAATCTGTCTAGCTGGCTTCATCACAGTTCTTGCTCCCTAGTTTACTTTTAGGCTGTGATTTTTAATATTGACTATCATCTCTTCACCCTGGGAAATCTTATTGAATTTAGAATATATAAAAGCTTCTGAAACTATCTGAGCATATCTTCTAGTGAACTAAATGTTGCATGTTCAAATCACTTAAGATTTTTGATGCAGGTAGATTTTTAAGGTTTTTTCTTCATTTAACTAAAGGGAATTGTCAGCAAAATTTGAAATTACCTTTGTAATTTGAGTATTTCTTTGCATATAAATAGCTAACATTCCTTTTTCACTAATGGCTCTAAAACAGACTCAAACCTTTTGACAAAGCTCAAATGGACAAATATATGGAAAGCATTGCCTTTAAGGAAGGTGGACATGTTGGCAGTTGGTGATTCTACTGACTTGTGGCTTGTTGGACAGCATCCAACATCCAACAAACTACAAATGTGAACAGGTAATAAAGAGCTTCTGGACGCCATGGTAGGTTTTTTTTGTTTAATCTATGTATTCCTGGGACACTTGTGTGCAACAGTGAGAGGGCCAAAAAATCTAAGGTTTTGATGGACTTGTCACTATCAAAGATTATATATGTACAAATTAACTCATTGTCTTGTCTGACCCCATCTATTATGCTCAAAAAGATTAAAAGAAGTCATATTAAAATCCTTTAACAGTTACTCCTGTAAAATGTGTATTTTCTTTTCAAAATCTATATTCTTTGGGGAAAATGTTAAAGTAGTTGTTAAAAAAGATTCTGTAATAAAATTCTTCATGTAGAAACATTGCATTGCAGCATTCTCTGAGCAGAAAACTGAAACAACTCTTAACTTTAATTTTTTTTCAATCAAAAGAAGACAGGGGCAGAAAATATTCCAGGCCAGACACACTGTGCCTCTAATTTGATCCAAAAATTTGAAATCAATGAAATTTACTCTGAAATGACATTGCTTACTACCTTAGTCTAGCTCCAAGTTCCAAGTGGGATACAGTTTGCTTTCAGAGAAAATCTGTTAAATTCAGCCTTTTCCCTGTCTGTTATGACACGTAAAATTTACAGATCCTTGGATTATGAAATTGTTGCTATGAAGTGATTACATCATAGACTACGTCCATGAGCATACTTACTAAATCCTAATGGACAGCTACTTAGAGAGGACCTCTTTAAGAAAACATGTTAGCCGAAGCTTAGTTTGGTCTAGCTTCTCTATAATTCAATTTGAGAAATTAAACATTCTTGAAACCTAATTGAAACCAAGGTGTTGATCTTCCTTTTAAACTAAAAAGACGAGGCTAATTCAAGGGCATTTACAAAATGCATGGAACTTTAAGCAAGAAAAATAGGGAAGTTGAAAGCAAAAAGGAAGGAATCTATCATCAAAACATCAAAAAGGTGACAGGAATTATAAGATTTAACAAAGATAAAGTCCTGTATCTGGGATGGAGTAATCCGAAGCAGCAGTACAAACTGGGATCTGTCTGGGTCTGCTGAAAAGGACCCGAGGGTCCTGGTGGGCCGGAAGCTCCCCTGGAACCAGCATTATGCCCTGGCAGCACCAAAGGTAAATGGTGCCACTGGTGAAGACAAAAGTATAGTACAGCCAGCAGATCAAAGGTGTAATTATGCCACTTGACTTGGCAGTTGCTAAGCCTCATCTGGAATACGGTGTCCAGTTTTGGTCAACTCAGTTCAACAGAGACATTAAAAAGATGGAGAGGTCCAGTGAGGGTGCCACCATGATGATCAGAGGGTTGGAGGAATTTGGTTTGTTCAGCCCAGAGAAAAGATGACTCAGAGAGATCCAATCACCGTCTTACAATACCTAGAGGTAGTTATAGAGAAGAAGAGGGATGCACTGTCACGGGACAATAGACAACAGGCCCAAGTTGTTGCAGGTGAAATTCCATCTGACTACAAGAAAAGTGCTCTGGAGTGCAATTAAACACTGAAAGAGATTGCCAAGTGGTGGTACCTCCCTCATTGGAAATATTTGACTCACCTTGACAGGGCACTGGATAACCTGAACTCAGACCTGCTTTCAACCGGAAAGCTGGACTAGATAAGCTCCAGACACCCCTGCCAACCTAGACGGTCCTGTGACTCTGTGCTTAGGAGAGAAAGAAGGAACTCAGAAGGCAAGCCACAGGCTGAAGAAGGGCTTTGATACATCAGATAGCATTGACTTTAAGCCTTTGGCAGAATGGAGGGAGAAAGATGTGAAGAAATGTATTATTTTCCATCTATATGCACACTTCCCACTAGCTCCCTTAGTGGTAACACGCTTTAGAAGCCTAAAGTGTCAGGTGTAGTGCTACAGCATTGTGTGATCCATGTGGTTATAAAAGACAGTGTGTTAAAACCAGTCAGCAGTCTTGGGGCAGGGCATTGTGTATGTCTCTCCAAAAGGACCAATAAGCAGAGGCCTGCATCCTGGGAGAACATTAGCAGCCACAGAAAAGAGCTAGGTATCAGCATGCTTAAGAGCTCTTGGTTCCACTGTATTGAGACCAAATGAGTATCCTCATAAAACTAAGCGTTTTCAGTGCATTCATGCAGCACACAAATTAGCAAACTGAAACTTTAATCCCTCTCAGATGTGAGAAAAGCTTAATGGTTGCTTTCTCCTATCTTTATTTTGATGGAGGAAGACAAATTACTGGTAATGAACACGGTAAGTCTAATTCCCCAGTAGAAACTATAAAGAATGAAATTCTTTTTCCTTAGTTTCTTAAAAATTAACTTGCAGTTTAGCTTTAATAAATTCTGATTAAAAAGTATGTTAAGAATTGCGTTTCAAGCAACTTATATTGTAACATTGCCACTATTTATCATTTGTTTTCTTAATTTCTTCACTCTCCATATTACACATCTGATGATAAAAGGGAAGGTACACTAATACTTTTTTTGCTGGAAGTTCATTTAATTGGATGCATGTTTTAGTGTACTTGTTTTATAGGTATTAACTTACTTAAGGGGCTTATCTTCACACTAGAGAGAGGAATAATTTTTTTCTTAAGGAAGAAAGCACTCATCTAAATTG